GAGGAAGGAAGGAGAGTTACAGAAGGCCTTCACGACTTCTTGGCGATAGGTCTCGAGGAAGATGGCGCCCATCGGGGACTTCAGAAAGGTCCTGCGTCCCTCCTCGATGCCATTCTCCCTCTCGACCATAACCTCGTCACGTGCCTTATCGAGGTCGGCCTTGAGTTTGTCGTTCAGATGTCGGAAAACGGCCTTATCGGCCTTCAATTTGTCGACCAGGGCCCTCGAGGCCTCCAAATCTTCTTTCAGCGCCTCGATTTCCTGGCGCTGCGCTTCGCATTTGTCCTCGAGGGACTTGGTGGAAGCGAGAGGAGCCTTGCTCGTCTCCTCAAAGCAGGGGAGCGCGGCAGCCAGGAACTGCGAAAGAATATGAAAAACAGATTAAGGAAAAGATGAATCGAGTTTAGAGAAAAGAACACAAAAGCCAAGTCGATGAGAGAAGGGAAAAAATACCCGGGCGAGACACTGAATAGCGTAATTGGAGCGCTCGTACAAGTTCCCCTCGACTCGCTCCTTGTCGACCTCGGGGATGAGGGAATTGAAGTACTTGGCCACATGGTACGGCTCCGGATGATTCCAGAGCCGAGATGGCATCTTAACCGTCACATCTTTGACGGTGATGGGGGAAGGGCCTTTCTTCTCGACCGCCTTTCCCTTCCCCTTGTCGACCTTGCGGCGCTTAAGGTCGTCGGGAATAAGGATGGCGGCCCGATTGTCCTGGGCCCTCTTGCGAGAGGAAGGGCCTGACGATTTGGGTTGTGAGGAGCCAGGGTTCTCGACCCTGGATTTTTTAGCAGCAGTCGCCTCGGCAGCTGCAGCAGCGGGCCTCGACCCAGACCCGCCTGAGGGTCGAGGCGGAATGACAGGACCACCAGTCGACGGGCCGGACGACTGACCCTTCTTGAGCTCGAAGCGTTTGAGCGCTTTAACTGAAATAATAGAAGAAAAGTTAGCAGGGGGAACACTTAGCAGTCATGACGAAAATAATTATAATTCCTAAACAGTTGCACAGAAAAGAGAGAACAATGACGGCTTACGAGGGTCATCGAGACGAGGAAGGTCTTCGTAAAAGACGATTCGAGCATGATTAACTAATGCACGGTCCTTTATTAGCTGACGAGCACTGTATGTGTGCTTATTTAACTCAAATAACAGCCGGGCAAACTCGTCAGAGCGAGGCCGTTTATTTTGCTTCACCTTCGAGGTGATCCATTTATTCACAAAGGGATATGCACCAGGAGCAGGTCGAATGAAAACGAACTTCGACTTCCACTCGGTGACATTTGATGAAAGATCGTCGAGAAAGGTGACGCCGGCACGACGACCCAGGCAATGAGCGCCTTTGGAAAGTCGATAGCCATAGCAGTAGAAGAAAAAGTCGGGTGAAAAGAAATTGAGTGTTATTCGGGAGACGACTATAAAGGCTATCATAATGCGGATAGCATTTGGAGAAAATTGGTTTATGGGGATATTATACATGTTACTTATTAACAAGAGTTCGTCTTGGATAGGGAAGCGAAGGCCGAAGACGACTTGGTCCACAAAGAATGTATGGCAACCAGGAGGAGGATGAGCGAAATCGTCATTGGGACCTGGGGCGACTAACTCCCAGTCGGAAGGAAGCCCGCTAAACTTCCTGAAGTCCTCGACCTCGGCTGCAGGGGCATAACAAAAAGGATTTAGAACAGCTAACCTAGCTAAGGGACAAGCTATCGATACAACATTTTGAAAGTCGAGAAGGGGAGCAATTATTGGTACAGATACAGGGCTCGTTCTATATACAGGGATATCTAAAAACCTAAGAGGAATACCTCGAGGAATGATATCGAGGCGAGAAATATTCCCTCGAGGAGGGCTTTTAACGAGGTCGACCAAGCCACCCTCCAGGAGTGCTTCGTCGTACTGCTCCCAGTCGGCAGAAGAGGCAGTGGCGAGAGGAGGAGAATGGGAAGGCAGTGAAACCATCTTATAGCCGGTTATCTCGACACAGTCAGAGCTAGAACCCTCGTCGGCTTGACAAGTATAATCGTTGATCTGCTGACCGAGGGAGCCAGAGAGAGGAGACGAGTTGGAAGCTAAAGAAAGAAAAAGGAGGAGAAAGTCGAAGTTAGTAAAATCACGAGTAAGGGCCTACAAGATCGAATCAGGGCGACTCGCGATAATCGACAGAGGAAGAAAGGACAAGAAAGGGGAAATCACTATCTATATGTCGACTTAAATAAACCAATAAGTCGACCTTAGTCGACTCGAGGAGAGAAATTGAAGAAAGAAGACCACTAAGTCGACGAGAGCCGACTCAAAGACAGGTGGAAAGTCGACTGCATATCGGCAATCGACCGATGGTAAAAACAACAAGCTCTTAGCAGATTGTACGCGTAAGGAGATCTAAGTGTGAAATCCATAAGAAATTCGTGAAAAGTATGAAGAACACAGCATGAACTTCAAAAATTCTGGGAATCCAGAGAAAACCAGAAAAAGAGAAACCGACAGAAAAAAAGAGGGATAAGAGAAAATAGCAAACTTACACATGGTGGTTTAGCGGATGGAAGCTTTGAACGAACTTGAAGTTGCCGGAAGCGGGGAACGCCGGGGAAGCCGAAGTGCGAAAATTGCCGGAGAATCTGAAGAAGCTGGAGAAAGCAGGAAGTTCAAGAGTGTGAAAAGTAATTCTTTGAGAAGGGTAAGCGTATTTATATAAGGAAAAGATGGGTGTGGACCGTTGGATCATCAAAGTAGCCAACGATCCTGATGAGGCACGGAATTCGAAGAGGCGGCGAAGGAGATGACGCGCGTCACTTTAGGGTTTTCAAAAGTTTGAAATTTGAAATGGGCCTGTCAGAGTGTCAGACCTATCCGAAAGAGCAATCATGAGGAGGGAACGCGCCCTAATCGATCGACAAGACGAGTTGTCGAAGAAGTCAATACGAGTGAGGTTGATGAAAAAGCGACAATTATACTTCACCAAATTTACTCTTAAGCAGTCGACTGCTTAGAGTAATTTTTGGGGGGGGACTAGATGATATAGCCACATAAGTATAGCCCGGTCCAGAAGCTCCTTAACCAACAAACCACTCGCATTACTCGCGTGTCGACATGATTCAGCCGACATGCCCAAATCGACTTCCCTAGGGTCGGTTCTGCCAAGAGCAATTAAGAAGCAGCAGAAATTGGTCTAGTCGACTCTTGCAAGTCGACTTCAATACATCGACTTTCACTAGTCGGCACCAATGAAGGAATAACAGCAAAAGTACAGCGCCCACACATCCTGATACCCTAAGTCGACTTCCGACAGTCGACTGAACCAAGATGACCTCGCCACTAGGGATTAGTCAAGCGTAGCCTCCGAATCCTCGCATATCCACGAGTCGACATCCTATCTTTCGAAGTCGACCTCGCATACCTCGACTAACACAGATGTGATGACGACTCATCACACTTGCACCATACTTGAAGTTCCATATACCACAAAGGATAAGAAGGAATCTAGCGGTGACTCAGCACTAAGGGGAGACGAATCGACCGGGGCATTTTGGACCTTCTAGGTCCACCGATTGGGGTATTTTGGGTACTCTGCGTAAGTATTCACTCCTATATAAAGGAGATGAGGTAACCCTAAACCCTAACTCTCATTCATTCTCACTTTCCCTATAGCTGCTGCGCAGCCCTTCTTCATCCCTTTGATACTGACTTGAGCGTCGGAGGCTCTACGCCGGAAACACCTCCGACGTTGAGTTTTTTGCAGATATTCTTGCGGTCTAGAGACGGTTTCAAGGCGGTTCAAGCAGGTCTGAACTCACAACCACCGGTTTACTCCGGATCCAGAAGTAGACCCATCACACACTATATATAAATATCTAATTTTATTTGTGTATGTTGTATGAGCACTCTGAAAAACCCACATAAATAGAAGTAAGACGTTACCCACTAAAAATGAAGCATTATATGCTCAAGTAAGGCCCATGAGACGCACATACCACATCCCAAGACGAGAGGATTAGGTCTGTCGATCCCTCACTACCGATCTTGCTGTAGAATGTGAACGCTCTCTGATAGATCAAATCGGTAAAGCCACCGTCCAATCGATCTTGTCTCGCACGACTGAAGAATATATGTCCAGCCCTCAAGACGGATTTCTACACGGCACCATGCGTCAATCACCTAGCCACCAAGGTGGCAATCTACCATAATTGTATTTTACCTTTTTTTATTCGCGTATAAATGAGGCACTGAACATCTCACGAAAACCATAACAAGATAAAACAATATAGCAGTGCAACGACACTTCAAAATAACTCAATGGTAGAACCACCAGTATAACAAAAACACTCTTACGACTTACGAGGCATACTTTCAGAGAATTCACTCTCCTTGCCGATCTCCTGACAGATCGACATAATTGTGTATCCTCCTCTTTCATTATAAGGTAGAATTATTTTCATCAGTCCCTTACATAAAACAAATCTAAATACTTTTTGTTCGTAATTAAGAGTTGTTGGCAATCGTGCGTTAACAAATTGACATTAGAAGGAGGGCCCGATTGATACTTTCGGTGAATCTACCTTGTAAAAACTAGATCCAGAAATATCCAACTCCAATCACGCTCAAAGCCAAACTAAACTTTAAGTCAACTTCACTATCATCAATATTATCAACATAATTAAATAATATCATTTAATGATTCTTACACGTCACACAAATTTTAATTCACTATTGATTCATTCACATAATTTTAATTAACCATCACTTCACATCATTTATTTCCTATTTTTATGTCAATTCAACTTTAATTATTTTATTTTAAATATTATTTTAATATAAATTTAAAATCTCACTAACAACTAATTATATCATATTTTTCAAAATTAACCATAGCTAACCCAATTTTTTTTGATAAATTTGTATGAAAGCACGCCTCCGTCTCCGGGTTGAAATTACATATGAACGCATAAGCCCTAGTTTGTTCATCTTTTTTGGTGACTGCTATATTAAGACTAACCCACCGCGCCACGAGAATAAGAAGCGGCGGAGGCGGCGGCATGAGGAAAACTTCCGGCAACGGCGGCGGTGTGAGGAAAAGATCTGGCTACGGTGGAGAAAACCTGCGTCGTCTCCGCCTCGACGTCGAATCCGCCATGAAGAAGTTTGCGACCGTCGAAGAACTTGTGGAGCACCTTCGCTCCCAGCCCATTTACAATCGCTACAAGCGACGACCGTTCGCTAAAAGCGTTGAGGGAATCTTTGAGGTCTTGATCAGAAGAAGCAACGTCATGGATGGGTCCGACGGTGGCAGCGGTACTCCTGCTGCGAATAAGAGAAGGAAAACTAACGAGGTGCCGAGACGCAGCTGCCCCTCGTCCTCCGAGGCATCCGCCAGTTCTTCAGATCGAGATGCTTCGTCCTCCGATGAAGAAGCTTCCACGGCCATGGATGCCATCTACGAGGAGAAATTCGAGCCGGAAATTGATTTGACAAGGTCGCTGATGCGGGAAAAGCTGTGTAAGAAGTCCCAGGAATCACGCAGCAGGGGAAAGGTTGAGAAAGTCATGGAAGTCGAGATGCTGGATGACAAGTTGCACTTGATGAATGAGGTAGGTAAATTATCTGACGTTGGTCAGCGCAAGACTAGTAACAGCTCCAAAGGCGGTGCAGGTGGTGGGAAAGAGATCAGTAAGCGAATGTTTTCTGATTTTGGGGGAATTGATGGAGCCATTGAGGAATTGAGGAGGAAGGTCCTTCTCCCCTTCTGTCATCCAGAGCTGCCTCGCAAGCTTGGAGTCAAACCTGTAACGGGGATTCTCTTACACGGTCCACCGGGTTGCGGGAAAACAACGTTGGCTGAGGCTATTGCCAATGAAACTGGGGCGGAGTTTCTTAAAATTTCTGCGGCGGCATTGGTATCTGGAGTTTCAGGTACAGTCTCATTTTAAGTTGGTTTAGTGTTTGTGAGATTGAGTGGGATTTAGTGTTTATCTTGAAAGAGGTATTAAACAACTTTTTTTTTTTTGGGTATGACCTCTTTTATGTAACTTGTAATAACTTGTAACACAGTGATCATTTCAATGTGATTGGCTAACCTATTTAAAAACCTTCTGGCATGTTGCATTTAGAACTTGTGTCTAACTTATCAGGTTTATCTTATGTAAGTTGATGTGAGTGACAAGATACCAACTATTTCATATAATATTATGTTGATTTGGAAATATGGCCTTTTATTATAATCGCATTTTATTATAATCGTAGTGATTAGCCCTGGCGGCCATATGCCTATTTAGCCCACCACCGCAGCTTAGGTGCTGAACCTTGATTTGCGAGAATCAGGAAACCACAGTATCCAAAAGTTTGCAGTAGATCTTATTGTTGTCCTCTTTGTATAATAGCTGAACATTGGATACATTGATATTGCTCTATGAGTTGATTGAACTAAAAGTTTGATTGGGTCCTCAAATGTGGTCTTAGCATCACTTTTTTTGTGATATCTGCTTCACTGGTCTTGGAATGGAAAAGTACGCTTTGTGCTCTTGAGCGAAAATGACATGGACGATTTTCATTTCTGCAGGGAAAATCCCTTAGATGCTTATCTTCCTCCAATGATGGCCTTGTCTACCACTTGTTCTGTTGTTTATCCTTAACTGCCATCCCCATGGACTATATTGTGAATCCAATTTTGATCAGTTGTCATTGTTAGGTCTCTTAGGACACTGATATTGTCATGACCCATGCATGGTTCTCTCGAGAAGAGATCTTGTTTAGAAAATTCATGAATACAGCTTCTTTGAAGTTGTAAGTTCTGGTACAAAAGTAACTGAAAAACCCCAACTTCATGTTCATTCAGTTTTTCTCTGTAAATACCCTTATAAAGCCATTTAGAAAGTTGGGAATCACTTGCTGTATTATTAATTTAGGTAGATTTCCCTCAATATCTAATATCTAATTTCATTTGGATCTAAATCAAGTTGGCTTGTATACTCTTCTTTCTCTTTGTTTGAATTGAATTTAAAAGATTATGAAAAAAAATGGATTTTTTTTTGTTTTATTCGTTTCTTTGATCTATTTGAAATTTTTAATTAAAGTCAAAATTTTGAGATATCAAGTAAATAGATTACAGTACCTACTTTTTTTTGTCCTATTAAAGTGGAATCCCTAGATTCCTTCACATAACTTTGCTTTAATGAATCCTGAATGGCGTTGTATTTTGTCTGTTGTCAGTTTTGGGGGGCATTTAACTTAGAATTTGCAGTGTCTCTTTTTTTTAGAGGTTTTCGACCGCATAGCTCACTTTCCTGGAGGATGTCTTTTGAAGATTTAAAAATTTCATCTGACGCTTCCTATTTGTCCTTTTCCTTTCTAAACACTTTTTCAGGTGCGTCCGAAGAAAATATTCGTGACTTATTCTCCGAAGCAGAGAAGAAAGCACCATCTATTGTGTTCATTGATGAAATTGACGCGGTTGCTGCTAAAAGAGAAAACTCAAGGGGAATGGAGCTCCGTATTGTGACACAGTTGATCACTTGCATGGATGAATCAAGCAAGCTTGCAAAACCTGTTGATCGTAACTCTGGTTCTGGAAGTTCTGATTCTAACTCCAGTTATGTGCTAGTGATTGGAGCAACTAACAGACCTGATTCTCTTGACCCTGCCTTAAGGAGGCCTGGACGATTTGATCGTGAAATTGCTCTAGGTGTTCCTGATGAATATGCGCGCGCCCAAATACTATCAAAGCTTACGTGCAATCTTAAAGTTGAAGGTGCTCTTGATATCTCAAAAATAGCTCGTTCCACTCCGGGTTTTGTTGGAGCAGATTTAGAAGCGTTGTGTAATGAGGCTGGTTACCTTGCAATGAATAGAATCATAGATGACAGAAAACTTGTGCTTTTAAAAGAGCATGAAAGTGCTTCTTGTGAAGAAAGATGGAGGTCTCCATTGTCAAATGAAGAATTGGAGCATGCCAGTATGACTGTTGCAGATTTTGAGGTAGATATTATCTGATTATATTCCTTAAATTCATAAACGTTAAAAAGGATTGATGTTGGTTACATTCTCCCATGGGATGAGGGATTTCCCCCACCCCAAGCCCCCATAAAG